TCTTTTACAAACCATTGCTTATAAAGGAAAGGAGCAGGGCAACCAGAGAGTGGGAGGACTAGGAACTGGGTGAAGCCCCCTGAGGGAACACCCCTCAGCCCACAGTGATGGAAGGGTCTGATAGCTGCTGCAAGGATGTTATTCACATCATTCTGCTGGTACCATGTGGAGGAGTTTGGAGCCCACTGCGGCCAGGAATCCCTCAGAGAATGGAAACTCCATTGGCACCAAGTAATCCCACTGCCTCAGAAGCAAGGGAGTGGGATTACTCCTTCAGGAGCAACTCCTGTTTATCATGGCAGTCACTGAAGAGCTGCCCGTGAGGAACAGAACGGCAGCAATCGGCTGCTTAAGGCAGCAGCTGCTGCGTAGCTGTTTAAACCCCTCTCGGGTTTTTGCTTCATCTTTCCACAGGACTTCCTTTATCCATTGCCAATTCCTCCAATGCCAGGGGAGGCCAGTGAGGAGAGAGGGACGTGCCACCTGAACAGGCTGTAGAAAAGCATATATGTAATATAATAAATATTACACATATAGAAAATAATTAAAATATCAGACGTATAATTAATAAAATATTATTTATAATGTAATGTAAGCAATATATATACACGTATATATATACAGCAATCTTTTCTTGCTACTTATACAGCCAGGCCAGAGGAGATCCGAGTAGCAGACCCCACTTGTTGGCAAACCAAGGGTGACCACAACGACTGCAGGAACTTGGTAGAACCTGAGAGACAGAGAATGCGGAAGATCTGCAGGAACCTGCTGATAGGAGGACTCTTCTGATCCCTGCCCAACTCGTGCCTAGGCTGCTTTCTAGGCAACTGACAGGTAGAAGGAAATAATTCTGTACTAATAGCTCTGGGACAAATGCCAATTTGCCTGCGAGACACGAGGTTAAAGGTTGTTTATGCGATTAACACAAATTCAGATTTAGGGCACTTCGTGTTCGCGCAGCAGTCCAAAGAGTGCCAGGGCTGGCTTGAACACCCATGTGGCATTCCCGGGAGGAA